AATACTCCAGAATGTTATATTAAGTTAGCATACAAATGCATGGATGCTGATCCTGAAAAAAGACCAACAGCTGATGATATTTTAAAAATTATTACTTTTTGGAATGATGCAATTTATCATTTTAAATCTAATTATTCTAGTTATTCTGAAGAACAGCTTGATGAATTAGAAGAAATAAAAAAAATATTTGAGGAAGCAGATAAAAAACCCTTTAATCCTTCAACAATTACAGCAACTATTCATCCAAATGCTATTTATACAAGTAGATTATTCAATTTTACAAATCTTCCTCAACCTGTAAACTCCAATAAAGTTACAATTATTAGTAACAATAATGGTAATCATCTAATTTATTGTTAAATATTTAACCTTAATTATTTATTATTAATTATTAATGATATTTTAAATTATATAGAATCTAAACAAATTGAATTAACTATACCAGATGATTTTTAAATTGAAGCAAACCCTCCTTATAATTTAACTAGATTGAAGCAACCTACCATCATGCCTCTTATCATCATTTAGTATTATTTATTTATTATTTTATTAGTAGTTTTATATTCAACATTTATATATAGTGTTTTTAACATTTTTATCATCTATGAACACTACAAATAATAATAATAATAATAATTGAGATAAAAATCTGCATCTCACAGTAAGTATCAATATTTTATTTATAATAATATGCCAACAATGTTAATACTGTTGTATAATATGGGTGGTTTGGCCCTATAGAAAATTTGCATATGGAAATTCAGTATGGATTATAATTTTTATTGCTATGAAATGTGGTGGGGGCCAGTCTGTACAATCTTTGATTCCATATTTTTGTTTCATATAGAGCATTTTTTACTACAGAGGCTCAGATGTATGGAATATGGAACCTCTATAGACTTACCATTAACATGGGTTTCTATTTGAATAAGGTTTATTTGGTTATGAATTTGAGTATTCGAAATACATTTGAATGTCTGTTCAAATAAACAAATAAAATGAATATAACCAATAAAAATGAATATAGTAATAGTGAATAAACTGAATATAACAGGTGAATAATTTGAATAAGAATTTATAATGAATAAAAAGGTAATACAATTTACTATTGCATGATTCATGCTTTAAATTTAAATAATAAATATAACAATGGTGAAGGGCAATTATTACATCGTTGAAAATGATTCCTCTTCAATTTCTTCTTCAACAGACACAATGTCTTCAAAGAAGAACAAGAGGTGAAGTGTGAAATTATTTCACAGTTGTAGATTGAAAAGTCAAATGTAATTATTATTGCACCAGGTAAATATTTGCTTTGACTTTGAAGCTATTTATTTCCAAAGGCAACTCTTTTAGAATTCATCTGGTAAATATTTGAATTAAATTTGAACCAAATCATTTATAGGCTGTTTGAATTGAATTAAAGCACAATTTGTATTCAAATTAGCATGGTGGAAGTTTGATTTTATTGGATATAAAATGTGACAAAATAAAATTTAGGTTTTTACCAAAATTAGAAAA